TATCAAAAGACTTGAGTGCATTATTTCTAAAAACTTGACACACATTAATATATTATTCGCATACTAAGTTTGAATACATGGAAATTTATTCTTTAATTTGTAGCAACAATGTTCTCGTAACAAGCGTAATCGTAGTCTCCAAAAGGATCACCACACAGCTGGTCGAGAGTCTTTTGCAAGAATTCGTGATAGATTGGTATATAGCTTACATGTATTTTTAATAATTTATTTTGTTTTGATTCGAGAAGGCATATGAAAAGTTCTGTTATTTGTCTCAGGAAGCTGACCTTCAAGATAGTAGTAGCGTACCTTTAACAACTATGTATGAAGTCACGCGCAAAAGAACTGAAGGGCGAGAGTACAAAGATGCTAATGAAGATACTGTCACAAAAATTGTAAGTTTTACAATTTTGAAGAGCCCGTTTGGTAGCACGAAAAGCGGCTGTTTTGGCTGATTCTGCTGAAATTTATGAAATTCTGGCTGAAGTGACTGTTTTGGCTGATTCTGCTGATTCAAGAAAAAAATATTTTAAAAATATATTTTATTAATAAATTATAGAAAAAATTACATGTAAAAGTAGCTAAAATAGTTCTCTACAGTAACTTCAGCCAATACAGCCAGAAAAGTAACTCCAACCTTACTTTTTCTGCTTATTACACTTTTCAGCACACAAAAGTAAAAGTTAAGTGTTTTGTGAAAAAGCTGGCTGATAAGCCTGATAAGCCGAAAAAAGGGGTCTCCAAACGGGCTCGAAATAGTGCAGGTTTTACAATTTTGAAACAGAACTAATCTGTATGTTTTCTGGTAGTTTACAATGTTAGGCTGCATTAATTGTTTTTGTTTTGAACAAATAATTAAAAGTAGTACTAAAGTGAAAAGATCGTAAACTGAACTTGGACATGGACATTATCTGACAGGAAAGATCAGGATCAGGATCTTATTGCAATACCTCTTTGAAGTTATTTTCACTATCACTAATCTCTTTTTCCAAGTATTCCTTGGAGGCAAAGATGAAATTTCAGTTTCACTATCCTTAACTGTAAACCTACTTCTTAGTCTGCACTATTTGTTTCTAGCTAGATGTTTTTTTTAATTCTTGCATATAATCTTCTGGGATTGACATGCTCTATTGAATTATATGGATGCACAAGAGAAACATATTAAGTAATGGCTTGCATTATTTTTTCAAAACTTTCAATTGTGAAATTACTATTTTTGTAGGTTCAAATGAAGAACTATGAGGCACAAAATAAAGACGATAATGATGCCCGAGTTGATGGATATTCATATGTCATGTCAAAGGAGACTGATGGGCTTCCCATAATGTGCGGTAGAGGTGTCACAAAGAAAGACCTCGCTAAGTTGAATGAAGGTGGACAATCATATGTCGTGACTCCAGATGATATGGAAACAATAATTGTAACACCCCCATTTTTCCCACCAAAATAAAATAACATTTTGAAATGAAAACATCTTTATTATAAAACATATTTAGAGTACAGCGGAAGTCTTTAATGGAAAAACAGGTGTGTCACCGCCACACTCAACCTATACATGATTGAGTGCACAGGCTATCCACCATAAATTCAAGTAGCCATCGGATAAAACTTAAAACAAGTTTATGGATTACAATTTTAAACAACAATAATTAATCAAACGTGTGCAACTAGCGGAACACTCGGGCAGCAAGTACATCAATCTTCATAATCATAATCATCTGTACAATAGAGCAAAGAGAAAAAGAGAAAAGAGACAAAAATTAGCTTTAGAGCTAAGTAAGATTCCACCCGAACCCGTAAAATAATATAATTTGGAAAATAGGTTTTTTGTATATGTATATATATCGAAAAGTAGTCTCTCATATTTCCAAAATGGTTTAATGTCATAAAATAATTTCCACAATAGATAATATCATCCTTCAATTCCTCCAAAAGTAATACTTTAGACTCTTTTAAGAGTGGGCGAAACTCAAGATTCCTCGAGCCCAATGAGTCGTTGTTATCTACGACTCATCCCGGAATTCCGGCTCCCACCGACCACCAATTGGAAGCTGAATTTCTACCTTAAGTGTGCACACCCTCTAAAAGGGATTCCAAGCCCTCCGAGTAGTAAGAAACCCAAGTAGGCGGGATGTTTTCTACCACCTACTCACAAGGGACATTGTCCAAGGGTAAATTAGGTAACTACTACTACGACCACCAAAGGATCTTTGATCCTCAAATAAAAGTCCGGGATGTCTACCGGAGTATGTCATTGCCGGACTGGTTACCGACCCAAATAAATTTCACCTAAAGTAGTAGTAGCCCTAACCACCCACGCCTCGTGTTTCTCTCGAGACGTAAGAATATATATTATGAAAACTTTAAGTTTTCCCCAAATCATTCTTGTCATATTTTCTCAAAAATATTCTTTGTAATAAATATAAATCCACCAATATTCTTTAATAAAAAGAATATACATTTAATCATCCATAAAAGGTAATAATCCACCAATATTCATATAGTCAAAATATTCGATCCATGTCAAACATATAATTTCCAATTCATAAATAATTCACATAGTGCAAATATTGCATACATATAAGTACGAGGCAAAACATTTTGGTTGACATAGAACTTACCTTAAATTGCGATAATCTCCTTAATAAAATCTCTAGCTTGATCTTCACTTGAATTCACCTTCTAATATTGATCAAAATTCTAAATCAATAACTATTCTATTATTTCGTTATTTCTTTTATATCCAACCTTTAATTACTTTAACTTCATAATTCCTTCTTTAAATATAAATATTAAATTAATAAATCTTACTAACTGTTTATTTCCAGTTCATTCTTATTATTTTCTTTAATTATAATAACCCAACTCAGTTTTTCTTAATTTGTTTGGTTAAATAGTTTACTAGTCCAATTATATTAACTACATAATAATTTCATTATTTCGAATTTAAATAATCAATTTCAGTTCAAAATTCAGTTTACATAATTTATATAATTTATTTAATAACCCTTTTAATAATAACTTGACTTAGGCAATAATTCGAAATAATAATCATTAATGATAATCTAATCTCAATAACAACTTTAATTAGTTCAATAGTTTATTTATACTAACTAACCCAATTAAATTAATTTATACAATCCTCAAGTTTTATTTATTTGACTCACTAATTTAATTGAACTAACTAAATCAAATAAATAAGTTTAATTATATCAATATAGCTAAATACGTTAATCTAATTCAATTAAGTCCAATAATCAAATTCTAATCTCGTTTTAATTTTCTATTTTTAATATAAAGTCCAGAAATGTTATCAAGTCTATAAATTAACTAATTTATCCATTAAACTAATTGATTTAGTTAAACTAGTTCAATGAAGTCAATTAACTAACTTATTAAGTACACATTACTTAATTAATTTGTTTATATTCATCAACTAATTTTTTATGAGTTCAAATAGTTTAATAATTTATATGGAGTCCAAATCACTAATAATCAAGGATAATAATTATTAATTTAAGCACGCTAATTTAATTAGTCAACTAATTCAATAATTTATTTATTAAGTCCAAATATAGTCATTCATTTATACTAGATAACCCAACTTTATTTTCTTTTCCTTATTTTATTACAAACATCATTTTTAGTCCAGAACATTATTTTAAATCTTAGTGATTTATTTATTTCACCATTAATATCAAAATTTCCTTATTTAATTACTTAACTAGTTTATATGGCTCAATTAAATTAAATAACTTAATCATCACTTTTATAAATTACTAATCATCCATAAATATAGTTTGGGTCTATACTTGACCTAGGTTGTCCAGATATGTATTTTAGAATTATTTCCTTTATTTATTCACTTAATTTCATATATATATTAACCGGTTTAATTACAATTAAATATGCTAATTATAATTTTTGTTAATTATAAATGGTCCCAAATGTCCTAGTTAGTCATATATTTAATCTAGCTTGCTCCCACATTTATTTCATAATTATTTTCGTCATTTAGTTAATTATTTACTAAATGTGTACAACTTGGCCCAATTACAATTAAATCAATTAAAAATAGCTACAAATATTATTTTTCAATTATTCTTGGTCCGAATATGTATTTTTATACCAGGTATTTAATTTATATTTTTCCATATTTTATTTATTTCATTTACTATTTTATTTTTAATTTTTTATTGAAAACGGGCCGAACCGGCCCAAATTCGCGACCCGGCCCAAGAAGACTGGGTTGTCTCCTTCCCAGCTCTTCTCCAGGTCGCGATTCCGGCGACCGGAATCCCGAAAACTCCGGCGAGCGATAACTTTACTTACAGGTAACGGATTTCGACGATTCCAGTTGCAAAATGATCCTCACGTCGAGGAGAAGCTCCGCCACCCCTATCTACGGCAAAATCGTGTCTTTTCTGAAGACCCGTTTCCACGGCTTGCAACTCCGGCGACCTCTAGGATGCTCCGGTGACTACGAATCGGTCTGGAATTTATTGGGAAGTATTCCTAGACCTCTCACGACCCTCCTCTCTTGCTTATAGGCAATTTCTTACGTAAATATATATATATGTGTATATTTCCGGCGAGTAAGTATATATATTTGCTCTACTCGTTTTCTTCAGTTTTGTAGTGATTTAGAATGTCAATGGAGCTGTATTTATAGCTGTAGATCGAGCCTTATGGAGCTGGACGAGTTGTGTGAATTATTGTGTGAATTACTTTGATAAAATACATACATATTCATAATTCAATGTATACACATTATATGGTAGGTGTGAAGTCATGAAGTTGTTTCCTAGCATGTGAATATGTCCTCCAAATCTTTGTTATGATTTTCTTATCAAAATATGTATTAATATGTGTGTGTTTTTGTTGTAGTATATATATATATATATGCATGTACGTACTATATATATATGTATATATTACTTATATGTAGTTATATATATAGTATATTACTTATATATACTTATAGTTTATTCATTTGTATTGTATTTCTTTTATTTCATTAATGTTTATAAAGTTACTTGTAATTATTTTATTTATTTCCATTTACTCTGACAGATATATTTTATCTGGTTTATTTTTATTTTTATTTTATTTTATTTTTCTGATGCCACATAAGTGTTTAATTCTATTCCATGTAGTGTGCGTATATTTTTATACACCAAGTATAATAAAAATATACTTTGATATTACTTTCATTTGATTTATCAGATATAACTTATCTGATTTGTTTATTTATTTTTATTTCAAATTTCCAAGGTATCACATTCTACCCTCCTTAAAGAATGCTTCGTCCTCGAAGCATAAACTAAGACAAGAATTGAGTATGAAGATGAAGTATTATAGGTTTATAAGATATTACAACCTGCCCCCCTAAAAGAAAGGTTACGTCCTCGTAACCGAATATTTACCTTAATTGAAAATTTCAGGATACCGTTTACGCATATCCTCTTCTGTTTCCCATGTTGCATTCTCGGTCAAATGGTTTGACCAAAGTACTTTTACCATCTTAACTGTCTTCTTTCTTGTCTCTCGGGTCTTAGTATCGAGAATCTCTATGGGTTTTTCTTCGTAGGATAATGTCTCATCCATTTCAATCACCTAATAATATAACGGTTAACTTATATTCTTTCCAATTTACGTTTGGCTCATGTTAAGTCTAGGATTTCTTACCTCCGGATTGATGATATGTGACTCATCTCGAACATACTTCTTTAATTGTGATACGTGAAAGACGTTATGTACCTAGCATATATCGGTATGTTAAGAATGTATTTTAATCGTAGAGAAGTATTTGATTTCAAATCGGTTGTTACCTTATCCAACTCCGTGGGTAGAGCTAATCGATATGCCACTTTTCCCACCTTCTCTAGGATGTCATAGGGTCCGATGAATCTCGGACTTAGTTTCCCTTTCTTCCCGAACCTCATTACGCCTCTTGTAGGAGAGACTTTGAGTAGAACTTTCTCCCCTAGTTCGAATTCAGCTGGTTTTCTCCCAAGATCGGCATATGATTTCTGTCGGTCTTGGGCAGCCTTCATCCTTTCTTGGATGACCTTGATTTTCTCAATAGTATCTTGCAAGTATTGTGGTCCTAGAACCACCTGATCGACCATGTCACCCCAACATAAGGGACTCCTACACTTTTGACCATATAGAGCTTCGTATGGGGCCATTCCGATGCTAGCATGGTAACTGTTATTGTACGAAAACTCTACCAAGTCTAGGTGTTCATCCCATGATCCTTGCAAATCAAGAACACATGCCCTCAACATGTCTTCTAATGTTTGGATTGTTCTTTCGGTCTGTCCGTCCGTGGTTGGATGGAAAGCAGTACTTAACTTCAATTTTGTTCCCATAGCCGTTTGTAATTCTTTCCAAAATTGGGATAAGAATCGTGAATCTCGGTCCGATACGATGTCCTGAGGTACTCCGTGGTGTTTGACCACGTGTTTGACATAGGCTTTAGCCAGTTTCTCCATGCTCCAGGTTTCATTCATAGGAATGAACCTTGCAGTTTTGGTCAATCTATCCACTACCACCCAAATTTTATCTTTCCCGGACTTTGTTAAAGGTAAACCCCCGACAAAGTCCATTGAGATTGAATCCCATTTCCATGTTGGTACTTCCAAGGGTTGCACGAGTCCCTTGGGTTTGCATCTCTCCGCTTTGACTTTTTGGCAGTTCAAACATCGGGATACAAATTCGGCTACTTCTTTCTTCATTCCCGGCCACCAAAAGTTCTTCTTGAGGTCTTTGTATAGTTTGTCTCCCCCGGGATGTACCGAGTAGGGAGTGTTGTGTCCCTCCTCCATGATTTGTTTTTTGATATCTGCACACTTCAGTGGAACACACCATCTTTCCTTGTATCGGATGCTCCCATCTTCATGCATCTTAAATGGTCCGTTGACGCCATCTTTCATTCCTTCCTTGATTCTTTCGAGCTTTACATCTCCCGGTTGTCCGTTCTTGATTTCGTCAAAGATAGATGGAATAACAGTCATAGTACATAACTGTATTTCACCATCTACTTCGCCATATTGCTTTACTTCCAAGCTCAATCTTTGGAAGTCTCGGAATAGTTCTTCTGGTAATATCCATGTTGCTCGGCATGAGTGCTCAGATTTCCGGCTCAAAGCATCCGCCACCACGTTAGCTTTTCCCTCGTGGTATTGGATTTCTAGATCGTAATCATTGATAAGCTCGAGCCATCTTCTTTGCCTCATGTTAAGCTCTTTTTGAGTGAATATGTACTTCAAGCTTTTGTGGTCAGTGTATATCTTACAATGTGCTCCGTATAGGTAATGTCTCCAGATTTTCAAAGCAAACACTACTGCAGCTAACTCCAGGTCATGGGTAGGATAATTGACTTCATGCACCTTTAGTTGTCTTGATGCATAAGCCACCACTTTCCTATTTTGCATTAGCACACACCCCAACCCCTTCTTGGATGCATCACTATAGATATCAAATCCCTCCGTCCCTGACGGTAGTGTCAAGACCGGCGCAGTTGTGAGTCTTTTCTTCAACTCTTGGAATGCTGCTTCACAATCTTCATTCCATTGGAATTTGGTTGTCTTCTTTGTCAGGTTGGTTAGCGGTCTTGCTATCTTGGAGAAATCTTTAACAAATCTCCTATAGTATCCCGCTAGACCCAAGAAACTTCTTACCTCTGTGACCGAGGTAGGTGCACGCCATTCAACCACCGCTTCAATCTTCGATGGATCTACGGATACGCCTTCCTGGGTGATGATGTGACCCAAGAACGCTACCCGATCCTGCCAGAAGTCACACTTTGAGAGTTTGGCATACAACTGGTTCTCTCTCAAAGTTTGTAACGTGAGTCTCAAGTGTTTCTCGTGATCCTCCGGGGTTTTTGAATACACAAGAATATCATCGATGAATACCACCACAAATGTATCAAGATAAGGTCGGAATACACGGTTCATTAAGTCCATGAATACCGCCGGTGCATTTGTTAAACCAAACGGCATCACAGTGAACTCGTAGTGTCCATACCTCGTGCGGAATGCTGTTTTTGGTACATCTTTTTCGGATATTCTCACTTGATGATATCCAGAGCGCAAGTCTATCTTAGAGAACGTGCTAGCCCCCTTCAATTGATCAAACAAGTCGTCAATTCGGGGCAATGGATACTTGTTCTTGATAGTTGCTTGATTCAACTCTCGGTAATCGATGCATAGCCTTAGACTCCCATCTTTCTTTTTGACAAATAAGACCGGAGCGCCCCAAGGTGAGACACTCGGTCTTATGTACCCCTTCTCTAACAACTCCTCTAGTTGTTCCTTCAGCTCCTGCATTTCTTTCGGTGCCATCCGGTAAGGTGCTTTTGAAATTGGCGCGGTTCCGGGCATCAACTCAATTGAGAATTCAACTTCTCTCTCGGGTGGCATCCCTGGAATCTCTTCCGGAAATACATCCGGAAATTCATTGACTACGGCAATTTGGTCAATGTTTGGCTCCCCTGTATTCACCTCTTTCATAAAGCACAGGTATGTTTCATACCCCTTTCGGATATGTCGCCTTAATTGTTGCATACTCATCAGCCTCATACTAGGCTTGGATGCGATTGCTTTGTAAGATATTCGCTTCCCATTTGGACCCTTCAAGATCACCTTCTGTTCATCACAGAGGATACTGGCTTTGTATTTCCCCAACCAATCCATGCCCAGTACTATGTCAATATCTTTTAAGTCAAATTGGATTAAATCTCCAGGTAGGTTGGATTCAGATATGAGTATGGGAATGTTGGAGTATACATTTCCACAAGTTACAAATTTATCTGAGGCGGTTCTTACATTCAAGTCTATTCTAGCCGTTGGTTCAATCTTCAATTTCTTAATGAAACTAGAAGATATGAAACTGTGAGAAGCACCAGAATCAAATAGAACATAAGCAGGCTCAGAATTTACAAGGAATGTACCTGAAACCACATCATTAGCATTGGCTTGGGCCTGATTCATCACCATGATTCGCCCTTGGTTCGGACGGTTACCGTTGTTTCCGCCGTTGCCATTGTTCCCGCCATTGCCATTGCCATGATTATTCCCCCCTCCTCCTCGAGGGTTGCGGTTGTTGTTGTTGGCGGCGGCATTGTTGTTGTTATTTTGTCCTCCATTTGGCCCAGGTTGGTTCATATCTGGTCTTCCTCCATCACGGTATTGCACCTGGTTCACTGGTGCCCCATTGGTCTTTGAGAGACACTCGAAGGTTCGGTGCCCTAGCTTCCCACAATTGAAACATTTTGTTAGGCTTCCATCGCAGTTAACACCGGGATGATCTCTCCCGCACCTCTTGCAGTAGAAGTGTCTATCTCTGGGAGCAACTCTTCGATCATTTTGTTGGTTTTGACCGTGGAAATTTCTTCCACCTTGGTCATCTCTCCTCCTCCTCCCTTCTTGTTGCTGTGTAGGTGGGTGCACTCTGACCCTCTTTTCTCCTCGACCTCCATCTTCGTCCCTCTTCATCTTCTGGTTCCTCTCTCTTTGTAGTTGCTGAACTCGATAGTGAACTGCAGCTCTATCATAAGCTTCAGTCAGAGTTTGGCAACCCAAAACAGCGACGATTTTCTGCGTATCATAGTTTAATCCGTAGATAAATTTCTCAACTTTGGTGCTTTCATCAGGCACTATTGTTTTCGCAAATGGCGCGAGGTCCACGAATTTATTGTGATATTCCTGGACACTCATGCCCATCTGTTTCAAATGTATGAATTCATCACGCATGGTGGCCTGAACGTGTGCAGGATAAAAACGTTTCCTCATGGCAATCTTGAAAGCTTCCCAATTGAAGTCAGGTTGTTGACGTAAAGTTGGGCCTGATGAGACCCACCAGTTATCTGCCTCTTGCTGTAAATAGTAAACAGCAATGTCAACCCTTTGCTCTTCCGGACAGCTCACCGCGTCGAAGAGTTTGTCAAAGAGTCGGAGCCAATTCTCGAGGATACGAGGATCTTCTTGCCCATGAAAGCTTGGAGGGTTGCGAGATGCCACTCGTTTTGCGGCATCATTCCCGTTGTTCTGGTTTTGGTTGTTCTGGAGCACAGTAGCACCCAGTGTGTGCATAAATTGTGCCAGTTGCTGAACGCTTTGTGCCAACTCAGCATTGGTGGGCGTGTTATCAGGGTCTCTTCTTGGTGCCATGATATCTTGATGACACAAAGTATTCGTGTAAGAATTTCTATATTTTACTCCTAAGGATCCTAGTTCAACTAAGGATTCCATAGGCTATGTAACAAGAATATATAAAAATGTACATAACAATCATACAGAGGATTCATACTTCACATAAGATCACTTTCGCACATAATGTTTGTACATACCTTAGCCACTTAGGAATTTTGCCTTATGAGGCATTCCATTTAGCATTTGGGGTTCCCATTTCTCATATGGGCCCACAATTAGCATAATTATCACATACATGATACATGTAAGGAAAATAAATACTCACAAGGTCCTCACCACGTTCCTAAAAGGCCATTTCCTAGCTATATTATCTTTCCTAATCTTAAAAATATTTGAACATCTCCCTTTTGAAGGTACAATTTCAAAGGTTTCCTTCAATGATTTTGAACAACGAAGTTTCAGCACAAGGAGAAATTCCCAGGTAGTTGGACGAGCGCAAAGGCTCAATTAAGAACCAACAGCCTTAGACTCTTATCGTCTTGGTGACAGAATTTCTCCATACAACCTATTACCTCGTGTTCAAATCCTTTAGGAAAACCTAAGGCTCTGATACCAACTTGTAACACCCCCATTTTTCCCACCAAAATAAAATAACATTTTGAAATGAAAACATCTTTATTATAAAACATATTTAGAGTACAGCGGAAGTCTTTAATGGAAAAACAGGTGTGTCACCGCCACACTCAACCTATACATGATTGAGTGCACAGGCTATCCACCATAAATTCAAGTAGCCATCGGATAAAACTTAAAACAAGTTTATGGATTACAATTTTAAACAACAATAATTAATCAAACGTGTGCAACTAGCGGAACACTCGGGCAGCAAGTACATCAATCTTCATAATCATAATCATCTGTACAATAGAGCAAAGAGAAAAAGAGAAAAGAGACAAAAATTAGCTTTAGAGCTAAGTAAGATTCCACCCGAACCCGTAAAATAATATAATTTGGAAAATAGGTTTTTTGTATATGTATATATATCGAAAAGTAGTCTCTCATATTTCCAAAATGGTTTAATGTCATAAAATAATTTCCACAATAGATAATATCATCCTTCAATTCCTCCAAAAGTAATACTTTAGACTCTTTTAAGAGTGGGCGAAACTCAAGATTCCTCGAGCCCAATGAGTCGTTGTTATCTACGACTCATCCCGGAATTCCGGCTCCCACCGACCACCAATTGGAAGCTGAATTTCTACCTTAAGTGTGCACACCCTCTAAAAGGGATTCCAAGCCCTCCGAGTAGTAAGAAACCCAAGTAGGCGGGATGTTTTCTACCACCTACTCACAAGGGACATTGTCCAAGGGTAAATTAGGTAACTACTACTACGACCACCAAAGGATCTTTGATCCTCAAATAAAAGTCCGGGATGTCTACCGGAGTATGTCATTGCCGGACTGGTTACCGACCCAAATAAATTTCACCTAAAGTAGTAGTAGCCCTAACCACCCACGCCTCGTGTTTCTCTCGAGACGTAAGAATATATATTATGAAAACTTTAAGTTTTCCCCAAATCATTCTTGTCATATTTTCTCAAAAATATTCTTTGTAATAAATATAAATCCACCAATATTCTTTAATAAAAAGAATATACATTTAATCATCCATAAAAGGTAATAATCCACCAATATTCATATAGTCAAAATATTCGATCCATGTCAAACATATAATTTCCAATTCATAAATAATTCACATAGTGCAAATATTGCATACATATAAGTACGAGGCAAAACATTTTGGTTGACATAGAACTTACCTTAAATTGCGATAATCTCCTTAATAAAATCTCTAGCTTGATCTTCACTTGAATTCACCTTCTAATATTGATCAAAATTCTAAATCAATAACTATTCTATTATTTCGTTATTTCTTTTATATCCAACCTTTAATTACTTTAACTTCATAATTCCTTCTTTAAATATAAATATTAAATTAATAAATCTTACTAACTGTTTATTTCCAGTTCATTCTTATTATTTTCTTTAATTATAATAACCCAACTCAGTTTTTCTTAATTTGTTTGGTTAAATAGTTTACTAGTCCAATTATATTAACTACATAATAATTTCATTATTTCGAATTTAAATAATCAATTTCAGTTCAAAATTCAGTTTACATAATTTATATAATTTATTTAATAACCCTTTTAATAATAACTTGACTTAGGCAATAATTCGAAATAATAATCATTAATGATAATCTAATCTCAATAACAACTTTAATTAGTTCAATAGTTTATTTATACTAACTAACCCAATTAAATTAATTTATACAATCCTCAAGTTTTATTTATTTGACTCACTAATTTAATTGAACTAACTAAATCAAATAAATAAGTTTAATTATATCAATATAGCTAAATACGTTAATCTAATTCAATTAAGTCCAATAATCAAATTCTAATCTCGTTTTAATTTTCTATTTTTAATATAAAGTCCAGAAATGTTATCAAGTCTATAAATTAACTAATTTATCCATTAAACTAATTGATTTAGTTAAACTAGTTCAATGAAGTCAATTAACTAACTTATTAAGTACACATTACTTAATTAATTTGTTTATATTCATCAACTAATTTTTTATGAGTTCAAATAGTTTAATAATTTATATGGAGTCCAAATCACTAATAATCAAGGATAATAATTATTAATTTAAGCACGCTAATTTAATTAGTCAACTAATTCAATAATTTATTTATTAAGTCCAAATATAGTCATTCATTTATACTAGATAACCCAACTTTATTTTCTTTTCCTTATTTTATTACAAACATCATTTTTAGTCCAGAACATTATTTTAAATCTTAGTGATTTATTTATTTCACCATTAATATCAAAATTTCCTTATTTAATTACTTAACTAGTTTATATGGCTCAATTAAATTAAATAACTTAATCATCACTTTTATAAATTACTAATCATCCATAAATATAGTTTGGGTCTATACTTGACCTAGGTTGTCCAGATATGTATTTTAGAATTATTTCCTTTATTTATTCACTTAATTTCATATATATATTAACCGGTTTAATTACAATTAAATATGCTAATTATAATTTTTGTTAATTATAAATGGTCCCAAATGTCCTAGTTAGTCATATATTTAATCTAGCTTGCTCCCACATTTATTTCATAATTATTTTCGTCATTTAGTTAATTATTTACTAAATGTGTACAACTTGGCCCAATTACAATTAAATCAATTAAAAATAGCTACAAATATTATTTTTCAATTATTCTTGGTCCGAATATGTATTTTTATACCAGGTATTTAATTTATATTTTTCCATATTTTATTTATTTCATTTACTA